GAGATACAAGAAGTACACATAAAAACTTTGAAAAGGAGTAAACAAGGAAATAAACACAAGACTACTTAAAGTATGGCTGGGTGCTACTATCTATCCATCCACCACAAAAAAATAAAAATATGCATGCAAACACACAACAAACTAGAAAAAGAAAAAGGAGTGAAAAAAAAGCATATTGAGAAGTCTCATTCATACCACCCCTATCTGGAGAAAGGCAAGGGGAAAATATTTAATATATATATTTTTTAAGCCCTTAAATACCCACTGGGAGCTCTGGTGGTATAGTGCCTGAGGCATTTGACTGCTAAACAGCAGGCTGGAAGTTCAAACCCACCAGCCACTCCGCAGAAGGACGATCAGACAATCTATGTCCATAGAGATACTGCCTCTGAAACCCAAGGAGGGGTCACTTAGAGTCAGGATTGACTTGACAGCAGTAAGTTTTTTGGTAAATACCCACTACAAGGCCTGAAAAGATGCCAGAAAATTCCAAGTCTGTAGGTTTCCCCACAAGGATGGAACACACTTCAAAAAAAGTCAAATAAAGTTTGGCATTTAATAAAATCAAGTAAAACACAAAAGAGCTCAGATCCCCCAATGAAGGTGACTGAGCTCCCCATTCCTTTATTTACTCTGCCCCTTGTCTCTGAATTTGAAGTTCACAGAATGCAATGCCCATCTCACAAACAGTACATCTAAGAAAAGACCATCAGATCTCAGTGAAGTCTCACTATCCCAAAAATGACAAAGCATATAAACAAATCCACCCATAATAAACATGAAGCACTAAGATACAAAGAAATGACACAGCAACTCAGTATACAAACTATATTGAGAATCCATAGCATGCAAAAACAAAACCAAAGCCTCTGCCATCAAGTCGATTCTGACTCATAGAGACCCTGTAGGACAGAGTAGAACTGCCCTCAAGGATTTCCAAGGTGGTGCAACTTTACAGAAGCAAACTCCCTCATCCTGAGAATGATTAAATGAAAGATCCACCTGGTAGAAAATATAGATCAGGACCACAGGAAATTTACCCACAGGACCTTTGACTACTGAGGAAATAATGAAAACAAACTTCTCAAAAAGTGCAAAATTAAACATAAAGATAAAATAACAATATGTCAAAAATCAAAAGGGAGATAGCAAAATTAAAGGAAAAAATTAAATAGTCACCTGTTCCTGCATTTGATCCTAGAGCAAGGGAAAAAAAGAAAGAAAGAAAGAAAAACTATAACAGACATCATTGGAACAATTGAAGAAACTTATTTATGAGTTGTGCACTAGATGATAGTATTCTGAGTATTGTAATGGGCAAATCTGTTGCAAAAGATCTCTTTACAAGGAGCAAAGATGTCACTTTGAAGACTAAAGCATGCCTGACCCAAGCTATGGCATTTTCAATCACATGTGAAAGTGCACAATGAATAAAGAAGACCAAAGAAGAACTGATGCATATGAATTGTGGTGTTGTCAAAGAAGAATATTGAAAATACCATGAACTGCCAGAAGAAAGAACAAATCTATCTTGGATGAGGTACAGCTGAATGCCCCTTAGAAGTGAGAATGGCCAGACTGTCTCTCATACTGTTCACATTATTGGAAGGGACCATTCCCTGCAGAAGGATATCATGCTTGGTAAAGAAGAGGATCAGCAAAAATGGGGAAGACCTTCAACAAGATGGATTGACACAGTGGCTGCAAAGATGGGCTCAAGCACAGCAACTATTGTGAGGATGGCACAGGGCCAGGCAGTGTTTTGTTCTGTTGCACACAGGGTCACTGTGAGTCAGAACTGGATCCATGGAACTTATCAAAAAAAAAAAAAGTAGAAGGTCAACAAGTAAGGGGAAGACCCTCAATGACATGGACTGACAGAGTGGCTACACTGATGGGCTCAAGCATAGTAACAATTATCAGGATGGCACAAGAATGAATGAAAATCAAATGAGGCAAAAGATAAGTGGTGACCTGATTAAAAGGCATACAGAAGTATTTCCTTGTACTATTGTTTCATTGTTGCAAATTTTTTATAAGTTTGAAATTATATCAAGATAAAAGATTATCAACAATAAAAAAATTCAAAGCAATACCATTAGAGAATTAAAAATAAGAAATAATTAAGAATGGACCACGCCTAGATAATCCTTTCATGGCCTAATTATTTTCAGCTTTGAATTTTTTTTTGTTGATACCATATGTTTTCAGTAGTGGAAGCCACATTGAAATCAAGGGGAAAAAAATTAAGGTAATATGGATTTTGACAATTATGTGGGGCATATATGTGTCAAATGGTAGGACAGTTGGGGTCATGAAAGAGTCAAAAATTGAGATCCTGACACAGAAGACAAGCTTGTGATTATCACAGCAAATGCAAAGGAAAATATAACCTGGTTAAAACAAATGAAGAAAACATAAGTAAATATATTGTACAAAGAGAATCCAATTTAAAGAAAGTTGTTTTCTCAGCAAGAGAAAGTCAAATGGAACAGAAATGTAATTCAAAGATACAATAGCAGAAAATTTCTCTGAAAATAAGAAGGAAGTAACTGTGGATAGGAAGAGAACCCTGTTTCAGGAACTGATGAATTACTGACACTGAACACAGCCCTGTTCAAGTTACTGAATTTCAAATATTAAGAAAAAAATCTCAAGTATCTAGTCAGGAAAGAAGCATATCGTATGTACAAGAGAAGCTGACATGTAAAAATCAAGGGGTCCTTAGATTACTTCACAGCAGAATGCAAAGTCAGGAAAATGATAAATCAGTGCATACAAAGTTCAAGAGAAAGGTAACCCCAAAAAATTACATTACTATCAATCAATTTGCCATTCAAATATAAAGGTAAATTGCATTCACAAGCATGGAAGAACTCAAGTTAATAGAGCCACAATGAACCCTAACCAAGAAACCCATTCCCATCAAGTCGATTCCTATGCATGATGACCACATGTGTCACAAGAGAAGAATTTAATTCATAGGGTTTATGTGGCTTTGAGCTTTCAGAAACAGACTGCCTGGCTCTTATTCTGAGACTTCTCTAAGTGAGTTCGAACAATCAACCTTTTGGTCAGTACCTGAGTGCTTAACACTTTATGACACCCAGGGCCTCCCCACCCATTATAATCAAGTTGATAGTGACTCAAAGTGACCCTATAGGACAGAGTATAACTGTCACGTAGGGTTTCTAAGGGTTTAAATCTTTACAGAAGCAGATTGCCACATCTTTCTCCCGCAGAGCAGCTGGTGGGTTTGAAGCGATGACCTTTCAGTTAGCAGCCAAGCACTTAGCCATTGTGTCACCAGGGCTCCTTCCATGAACTTTACCTGGAGGAAAAAGTAATCAACTGAAAATTTAATTCAATCAAACAAAAGTTAAATTGAAAAACTGTCATAAGGAATGAAATAATACCATATTCAAGGTCAGAAGACTATGGAGAGGTGCCTCCCAATTGCAGATGACAAGAAATTGTGCTCCACTAAATAAATCTACCTAACACTTCAATAAACCATAAAGACAAAAAACAGACATTATTAAGAATGCCAAAATCAAACCTTTTAGAGAGGAATCAAAATAAAAGGCTCAAGATTGGGAAATTACAATAAATATGCTGGTATTCAGCATTTAATCCATGGAAATTTTCACTAAGAGAAAGAAAATAAAAGGAAACATTGGCAAAATAAAAATAATTATAACAGGGATTGAATCAATGCTATCTAGAATTATATGTAGTTAAAAATAATAATTAACCAACAAATAAGTCCTCATCTTTTATTATAGGGATTTTAATCACTATATCTGAAACTAAAGCTTATAGTTAAAAATGGCCTCTTTCCTTAACTTTTAAAGTGATTTTTTAAAATATTTCAGTTTGGACAATAAGAATTTCCATTATTCCACTATTTTTGGTCTACAAAAAAGGTAATTTCATATGGTTTAACTTTAATATGTTTGTGGTAAAAAAAAATGCTTATGTGAATTGTAAAATTTTACTTTTGTTAAATTGAATAAATACATATTTAATAATTTTATTAATATATTTTGAAAAGCATAAATATCTTTTTATAAATTACCATCTTTCCATCTATTCCTCCTAAAATATACATTTTGATATGGGTACTTAGGCAAATGTTTCAAATTATGGCCATCAAATGTTAATAATGGTTATTTTAAGGATAGATTTCTTCTTACTTATACTGGTGCTGTGTGAAATAGATTTCTGATGAAAATAATAGTATTATTTTCTTTGATGTTTTTTTATAAAACCAAACTTTTCCATCTACAAGAATAGGAATATTATTTTTCGACTATATCCATTGAAGTTTAGGAAACAATGCACAAGTATAAATTTCTCAACTGGTGGTGTGTTAATCCGAAGCAATGGCATCACCTGGGTACCTGTCAGAAATGCAGCATTTCAGGTCTTGCCCTAGACTGACTGAATCAAAATCTGCATTTTAACCTAGATCCCCAAGTGATGTATGCATATTAAGGCTTGAGAAGCACTGCTTTGAAAGATCTAACAGATCAATTCTTCAACAAGGGGCTGGCTTTCATAAACAAGAGGGCTGGCATTCATAAAGCAATGGAGATTAACCATTCAGTGGGTTTGTGGAAAGATTTGTTGCTGTTTTTCTGTACATGTGAAGGTCTTTATGCCAAAATTTAACTGTGTATTATGTGGGCTAAGGTAGGTTATCTGTGGTGTGGCTGGGCATCCACACATCATGTAACATTTTCAGGGCAATATGGGGAATATCTGAGAAAGCAGATACAAAGGTTCATGGTTAAAGAGGGAAAAGAAAAAAGGTTTTTTTGTTTTGGTTTTTTGGTCTGTTTCCATGCATGCTTTCTTGGAGTAAGATGCAAAGAATCTGGTAGAACATAGATTTAGCACTGCCTACACATGGGGGCACCATGAATCAGAATAGACTGGATTGCAACTGGGTTTTACTGGTTTAAACTGAAAAAAAAAAAAAAAAAAAGTAGTATTACCTGCAAGATTTCTCAGCTCATTTAATTCTTTTTCCAAACTGTCTAAGGTTTGTTGATCAGCAATATTGTCTAAGAAAGGCTCATTGTGGTTGGTAACATCAATATATTCAATTTCTGAAATTTCAAAAGCAGCTCTAGATAATAATCTAGTAGTGACACTTCTTGGTCGCAAATGGGAGGAAGAAAGGCAGCTGGAGCTTTTTTTAACAGAGTTGGAAAATGGTAAATTTGCTGTTGAAGGTCTCTGTGATGTCTTACCTAAAATACAAAAGTAAAAATTTTTATTATGGAATGATTTATTATCATTATTCTGAAGGAGTGTTTAGAGATGTAAAATACAAGTATCCAGCACTTAGAGCAGTTAACATGAGGTAGAGTCTACAAGAAAATCAACTTTTGATTATCTAAGAGTAGATCATCCATTTTTATTTACAACTTTTAATCCTAAATTACTTTTTCTCCTATCATAAAGAATACTTCTGGGTTGTTTTCTTCTAATTTTTCTTCATTCAGACCAAGAGAAACTGATTTTACAGAAAAACAGCTGTGAATGAAGTCAATTCCAAACCAAACCAACACCTAATCCTATCCCAAGGTCAAGTACTGTGCCATGTTTCTTAAATTTTAGGTCGATTCCATGCTTTGCCTTGCATGAGAAGAAACTCATACATTGACTGCCCAGAGTAATAATTCCACTGGATAGTGTATAACTTATTATTATATCAAAACAAATTTGGAAGCAAAATAGACTAATACATAAAATCTGCTTGAATTTTTAGGGGAAAAAAATGCTTTAAAGAAATTAAGATCACATCTCCAATTTCTAAATATGAGTTCACTATCTTTTGCCTTACGAGCACATTAGTGTTAAAGTGGAAATATTGAATGATGCAGGAGGCATCAAAAGAAGATGAAAGGAATACACAGAGTCACTGTACCAAAAAAAAAAAAAAAAATTGGTTGATATTCAACTATTTCAGGAAGTAGCTTACAGTTATGAAAGTGAAAGAAGAACTGCAAACTCTGTTCAAGAAATTGGAGAAAAACAAGGCTCCAGGAATTGACAGAATACCCATTGAGATGGTTCAACAAATGGATGCAGTGCTGGAAGTGCTTACTCATTTTTGCAAAGAAATTTGAAGACAGCTACCTGGCCAACTGGTTGGAGAAGATTGATATTTGTGCCCATCTCAAAAAAAGGTTATCCAATTGAATGTGGAACTTATCAGACAATATCCTTAATATCACACACAATAAATTTTGCTGAAGATAATTCAAAACCAGTTGCAGCAGTATATTGACAGGGAATTTCCAGAAATGTAAACTAGATTCAAAAGAGGATGCAGAATGAGGGATATCATCACTGTTATCAGATGGTTCTTGGCTGAAATCAAAGAATAGCAGAAAGATGTTTACCTGTGTTTTATTGATATGCAAAGGCATTTGACTATGTGAATCATAACACATAATGGATGACACTGTAATGAATGGGAATTCCAGAACACTTAATTATGCTCATGAGAAATCTGTACATAGACCAAGAAGCTGTCTTCTGAACAGACCAAGAGGATATTGCACAGTTTAAAATCAGGAAGGGTGTTTTTCAGGGTTGTATCCTTATACCATATTTATTCAATCTGTACACTGAGTAAATAACCTGAGAAATTGGACTATATGAAGAAGAACATGGCATCAGGATGGAGGAAGACTCATTAACAACCTGTGATATGCAGGTAACACAAACTTGCTTCCTGAAAGTGAAGATGACTTGAAGTATTTACTGATGAAGATAAGACTACAACCTTCTGCATGGATTACATCTCAACAAAAAGAAAATGAAAATACAACGGAAACAATAAGCAACATCATAATAAATGGAGAAAAGATAGAAGTTGGCAATTGTGGATCCAAGTAATATGAAACTTTGGCAACTTCAATCTTTTCTCCATTTATCATGATGCTGCTTATTAGTCCAGTTGTGTTTTCTTTACATTGAAGTGTAATCCATATTGCAGTCTTTGGTCTTCATCAGTAAGTGCTTCAAATTATCCTCACTTTCAGCAAGCAAAGTTGTGTTATCTGCATACCACATGTTGTTAAGGAGTCTTCCTCCAATCCTGATGCTGCATTATTCTTCATATACTCCATATTCTTTGGTTATTTGCTCAGCATACAGATTAAATAAATATGGTGAAAGGATACAACCCTGACACACTCCCTTCCTGATTTTAGACCATGCAGTGTCCTCTTCTATTCGAACAACAGCCTCCTGGTCTATGTACAGGTTCCTCATGAGCACAAGTAAGTCGTTTGGAATTTCCATTCTTCTCAGTGTTATCCATAATCTGTTATGATCCACACAGTCAAATGCTTTTGCATAGTCAAAGAAACACAAGTAAACAGCTTTCTGGTATTCTTTGCTTTCACCCAAGATTTATTTGGCATCAGTAATGATATCTCTTATCCCATGTCTTCTTCAGAATCCAGCTTGCATTTCCGGAAGTTCCCTGTCATTATACTGCTGCAACCATTTTTTAATTATCTTCATCAAAATTTTACTTGCATATGATATTAATAGGGAGCTCTGGTAGCATAGTGCCTAAGGCACTTGACTGCTAACCAGAGGCTGGTGGTTCAAACTCACCAGCCACTCCTCGGAAGGAAGGTTGGGCAATCTACTTCTGTAGTCATACTGCCTCAGAAACCCAAGGACGGGTCGCTATGAGTCGGGTCTGACTTGATGGCAAATAGTAACAACATGATATTAATGATGTTGTTGTTAGGTGCCATCAAGCTGTCTCCAATTCATAGCAACCCTATATACAACAGAACATAACACTGCCTGGTTCTGTGCCAGTCTCATAATCCTTGCTGTACCTGAGCCCATCAGTGCAGCCACTGTGTCAACCCATCTCATTGAAGACCTTCTCTTTTTTCATTGACCCTCCACTTTACCAAGCATGACATCCTTCTCCAGGGAATGGTCCCTTCTGACAACATGACCAAAGTAGGTTACACGACGTTTGGCTATTCTTACTTCCAAAGAGCATTCTGGCTGCACTTCTTCCAGAACAGATTTGTTAATTCTTTTGCAGTCCATGGTACTTTCAGTATTCTTCACCAACACTACAACTCAAAAGCATTGACTCTTCTTCAGTCTTCCTTATTTGTTGCACAGCCCTCACACACATAAATGAGGTGATTGAAAATACCATGGCTTAATCAGGCACATCTTAGTCTTCAGGGAGACATCTTTGCTCTTCAGCACTTGGAAGAGGTCTCCTGCAGCAGATTTACCCACTGCAGTACATCGTCAGATGTCTTGGCTGCTGCTTCCATTGGTAGTGATTGTAGAACCAAGTAATATGAAGTCTTTGACAACTTCAATCTTTTCTCCATTTATCATGATGCTGCTTATTGGTCCACATGTGAGGATTTTTCTTTTCTTTATGTTGAGGTGTAATCCATACTGCAGGAGCTCTGGTGGCATAGTGCCTAAGGCACCTGACTACTAACCAGAAGGTTGGCAGTTCAAACCCACCAGCCACTCCTCAGAAGGAAGATTGGGCAATCTACCTCCATAGTGGTACTTCCTCGGAAACCCAAGGAGGGGTTGCTATGAGTCGGAGGCAACTTGATGGCACATAACAACAACAACAATCCATACTTCAGACTGGAGTCTTTAATCTTAATCAGAAAGTGCTTTAAATCACCTTCACTTTCAGCAAACAGAGCTGTGTCCTCTGCTTGCCACAGGTTGTTAATGAGTCTTCTTCCAATCTTAATGCGGTGTTTTTCTTCATATAGTCCAACTTCTCAGATTATTGCTCAGCATACAGATTGAATAAGTACGGTGAAAGGATACAACTCTGACTCACTCCCTTCCTGATTTTAAACCCAAGGGGATAAACAAGTATCCCCTTGCTCTGTTCAAACAACAGCTTCCTGGTCTGTGTATAGGTTCCTCATGAGTACAATCAAGTGTTCTGGAATTTCCATTCTTCTCAATGTTATCCATAATTTGTTGTGATCCACACAATCGAATGCTTTTGCATAGTCAATAAAACACAAGTAAACATCTTCCTAGTATTCTTTGCTTTCACCCTAAGATCCATCTGACATCAGCAATAATATCCCTCATTCCACATCCTCTTCTGAATCCAGTTTGCATTTCTGGAAGTTCTCTGTCAATATATTCCTGCAACCATTTTTGAATTATCTTCAGTAAGATTTTATTTGCATGTGATATTAATGATATTGTTCAATGATTTGCACATTCTGTGAGATCACCTTTCTTTGAAATGGGTACGAATGTGGATCTCTTCCAGTTAGTTGGCCAGGTCTTCCAAATTTCTTGGCATAGATGAATGAGTGCCTCCAGCACAGCATCTGTTTCTTGAAACATCTCAATGGGGATTCCATGAATTGTTTTTCATGAGTTCCTTCAATGCAGCTTCAAATTCTTCCTTCAATACCATTGGTTCTCAACCATATGCCACCTATTGAAATGGATGGACATTGACCAATTCTTTTTTGGTACAGAGATTCTGTGTATTTGTTCCATCTTTTTTTGATGTTTCCTGTCTCATTAAACATTTTGCTCATAGAATCTTTCAATATTGCTACTCGAGGCTTGAATTTTTTTCTTCTGTTCATTCAGCTTGAGAAATGCCAAGTGTGTTCTTCCCTTTTGGTTATCTAACTCCAGGTCTTTGCACATTTCATTATAATAATTGACTTTGTCTTCTTGAGCTGCTCTTTGAAATCTTCTCTTCATCTCTTTTATCCTGTTATTTCTTCTGTTTGCTGTAGCTACCTTCCATTGAAGGGCAAATTTCAGAGTCTTTTCTGACATCCATTTTGGTCTTTTCTTCCTTTCCTGTCTTTTTAATCACCTTTTGTTTTCTTCATGTATGATATTCTCAATGTCATCCCACAGTTCCTCTGGTTTTTGATCACTGGTGTTCAATGCATCTAATCCATTTTTTAGATGGTCTCTAATTTCAGGAAGGATATAATCAAGGTCAGATTTTGGCTCTTGTGGACTTGTTTTAATTGTCTTCAGCTTCAACTTGACCTTGCATATGACCAGTTGATAGACTGTTCCACAATCAGCTCCTGGCCTTGTTTTGGCTGAAGATATTGAGCTTCTATGTCTCCTCTTTCCATAGATATAGCTGATTTGATTTATGTGTATTCCATCTTTGGTATCTCACCATCTGGTGAGGTCCATGGGTACAGCCACCATTTATGTTGTT